AAATAATTACCAATTACAATCGTCGGTTAACTTAACTTCTTGATACGGCGAAACGAGTGACTAATTAATGTCACGGATCACAGCGCCGTGAGTTCACGATAGAGAGAGGTTCCTCGGGTGAGTCAACAGTAAACTCGTACGGCAAATTTTGAGAAATAACAACAACGTTTCCTCCAACGGGTGTCTTCGTTAATTATATATAATATATTCGGCTATCTATCGTGACGCGACGAGATTTACGGGGAATAAAAGCGTCTTAAGAGAAAGATATTGGAATGAACGCATTTATGCTCGAACATGCTTAGCAACAGGTCATGTTAATCGATTGGCACGTAGATCGACCGAGGGAAACGCATTCGCGGTTAAAACGCTAAAATGCAAATCTAACGGAGAATTCGGGCTTCTTTGTAACTGCCTTTCTTCAAACGTGCGTAGAAAACAACCGCGTTATTTAAATTAAATTAAGAATTGCGTTTCAAATGCGACATCGTGTGCATACTTGCATCGCGTAGTTTTTTTTGCGCACGGGCCAGCCGCGTTAAAAATTCCTCATCGCCTCATTACCAAGTTTTTGGAAAAGCGAAACCTCTTCTTTTCGCAGCGTTTGCAGCAAAGAAATAAATTTTCCAAGATTCGGGAAAGCCTCGCGAAACATTTCCTCGGCTATTCCCGCAAACTTTCGCCCCGTTGTTGTTAAGTTCGAGCATAAATAAATACCTAGAACCGTCACGTTTCCCAGCACACAAGATTTATAAATATTAACAGCCCAAGTTAGCACGTTATGCCACCCGCGTCTACTCGCACAGTATAATGCACGTAAACCATGTAATGCACGTACCCCATGTAATTTACTACACGATATAAAATGCAGCCCGCTATTTACCATCGACCCTTCAGCAGCACATGTCGAAATCTCTCGATATTATCTTCCACGCGAAGCAATTCCGAATCGATGAACACTCGAACGATTATTGTAATTTACGACCGTATTTGTTTGCGCAAGCTTATCACCTTTTTCCAGCCCGGAGCGTTCGAATTTGCGCGTAAATTTCGAGGAAACTTAAAGATTACATCGTTCTTATAAAAAGTTAATTATATTAAAAAAATGTATGTACATAAAAAGAAATGTGAAGAATTACTTGTTACATCGAGACTCGATGAACTTATATTGTTGTTCGCGCACGCAGTTACCATAGCGATAAACAGTACAATCGAAGGGGGCTTTCGACATGCTTTCCGATATACATTACGTGCGGTAGACACGGTGTGCGACGAACACCCGATCCATCGACGGAGGGATGGAATGTATGCAATCAGGAGAAATCGATATGCCCGAGGTGGCACGATCGGGTTCATCACTGTGTCGTTTTTGACAACCGGCTGGGAACAAGGGAAAGTTATTGTATACTCGTGTACGTTGTATGGCTACCGTTCTCTGTCACGGCGGAGAGTTGTTGCTGATTCTTGTGCGGTGAAGTGCGACTTTTCTCGTTCACCGCGCCCCCACGACGACGTTACGTTGATCGACCTTACAATTGCTCGACACACTGTAGCCCGCGAATCCTCGGCGAAGGCGTTCGTCTGTCTTTCCTCGTACCTCGGAATACGCGCGAAACGTATCGACTTTTCTCGTCTCCGGAGGGCAGGACGGGATTCCGCGGTCGACCGTGTCCTGCAACGGTCGAGCGGTCCCGCGCCAGCCCGGAAGGAGCTGGTTGCATTTGTCGTTTAGCTCCGCTAATGCGTTTATTTCTTGTGCATACACACGTTTCGTACGACTGACTTTCAACGGGGAAATATTCGATTAACAATAGCGGTCGATAATTGACGCAATCGGGTCTGAGAATTAACCGCATCGACAGGCCTGATTGATTAATTTAGATTGACAACTCCCTCTTTAAATTATGGCTACCGACTTATATAGGTGGAAAACGAAAATGCAGTTAGCCGCGATTAGCGGACGATAATCGATGCTGATGCAATCAGCCCTAAGGCGTCTCGAGAGAGATCGAATTGCGAGTACCAGACGCCCCGGATGAGATTCCATTGTTTGCCCTAGGAGTATCGATTTTCCGCGGAATCGAGTCCGCTGCTTTGAGTGTCACTTGTGATCGCTTGTTGACTCGTCGGTTTGAGAAGCCCGGATATACCAGAACGAATATATCCGTTTCGAGAATATCTAGTTTGTACAATCAGACGATTTAGTCGAGTCAGCTATATTCCTGTTGCTCCAGACAAAGCTCGAGTTACGTATATTTCAACGAAATTTAATTATTTGAAGAGTACACTAGTGAAAAAATATACTATTGCTGTACAAGAATCTGTATCGGAAATTTGTTTTTTTTTTCGAAATTTTACGGACTGGAGTAGCGCATCGAAAAAATTGATTCATCATTTTCGACCGATTCAACTTTGATATTAAATTTATGTGACATATTTTGGAAGCAATCGTTTGAAAGCGGATGCCTGGTTCTCGCAATTCATAGGAGAAATATTTTGGCGCACGATTCCTCGCAAAAAAGTAAATACGTTCCGCTTCGGCGATGAAGACAAACGTTACATCGGACGTTTCGCGACGATATACTGCGATACACTTGTCGAAAAACCTTCTTGCTGAACGGTCGCGTCGCGACAACCAGCGTCTTCTCGTCGACGTCGTTTGATAGCGAGAGAAATTGATCTTAAGTCATAGAAATATTCACGACAATATTAACTTTCTGTTCTAACATCGGATTATAATTTGCCAGAAATTGAAGTCCGATTGGGATTAAATGTATCATTGATTTAAATTTACAGTCAAGAAAATGCCAATTTTTATTTCTGTGTAAACTGTGTTGATTCTTATCTTGCTGTAATATATATTTGGTATGTAAAAATTTACGTTTCTCAATCCTGATTCTTGTATAAAGCAATTAAATTACAATGCCATAAATAAATAACGCGTAGATTTCTCGAAGAAATGCCTTCATTACTTTCGGAGATTGCTCTGCATTTGCGATAAATCTACTCAGGAGCGATGTTAATTAGCGTGTGATAGATAAGAATAAACTTGGAAAACAATCAGTTTCTCTCATTATTCGACAATTCAGACGATTAATCGATTGGACGGTACGGAAGGAGCAGGACGGGGTCGTCGCGCGCGACTGCGAAGTTCCTCGGATATTTACAAGTCGAAGGATTCGAGCGGTGCGAAACGCAGCGCTGATCGGGGATCCGGTTATCGTCGGAGAATCGCAATCCGGTCATCGGCGTTGCCTCGATCGTGAAAATCCTTCGAGGCGTCCGTCCCCTCTTCGTCCGAGAAAAGATCCCAATCGATCCGCTCGCCGGGGCTCCGGGTCCACGTCGAGACCTTGTAATTCGATCAACGTAGCCGGTTAGCATCTATAAAGACAAGATGCTAGACTGCCGTGGGGGCACGCGATTGTCAATGCCACTTCGCCTTTTGCGCGAATATATCCGCGCGCAGATTCTGCGCGAAGCAGATTCCCAGAATCTGAAAACAGCGAGAAACAACCCGTTCAATGCTTTACCGGTATGGAAACATCCGCAAGAGAAACGCTCTCTTAGCATTTTCACAGAATATTTGCGAATGCCCGAAACATCTTATAATTGATATCCGATATAATTTAAAAGTGGAAATAACATTTCTCTAGTTGCCAAGACGGCTTTCGAGAATATTATCGTGGAGTATTCTTTTAATTTGGCAGAATAATTAAAACTGCTTTAATCGTTTATCTTATTCGCGAGACCACGTATTATTTTTACATTAAAAATAACTGACGTATAAATGAAAGTCCGCACTAAATGCGTTTTATGAAAATGCCAAAAGTGTACTTTTGTATAACTAGAGACATTTTATATATAAAGTGCACCGACACAGAATATAGAATTTTGGAACAATCGATACATTTTTCAGTTGAGAAAAAACTGATATTAAAGTTTTATTTATCTCGCTGCTGCTCAGCTGTAGTATTCGTGCTCATGGTGAATGCGCATTACATGCATCTATAATTTAAGATATACATATAATTGGATACACACGCACAGCCACTGAATAATTAAATCCCATCGAGATGCAATCGATAAGTTGTAACACAACGAGCAATATCAACATGCTTCGAGCAACATCAACATCTACTTGGCGCACACTTGGGATAACGAGAAAATTCATTACGCAAAGTAAGCACGAATTTAAAATCCTTTAATAAAATTCAAGAGAGGCTCAATATATTACGCTGATAAATGCACTCGCGCCGCCTGGCTACGTGTTATTATGTATCTCGCATCTACTTTACGTCTTCCCGTGTAACACTGCGAAACGAAACAGGTATAACAGCAGTCAACGTTGCAAGCACGGGTAAAGTCTCACCTCATTTCTTTTAGGGCATGCAACGGCTCCACAATGCAGCGGTCCGCATCGACGAATATATGGCGAGAAACGTGCCAAAATCTCTCGTTTTAACACTTTGAATCAATGACGGCAATCTTGAGCGACGCAGAATATATCTGAATCGCAAATTGAAAATTAAGCGCGAGTCGCGCCGAGAGTTTGAGTTTTCCATTACGAGCTGAATTTTAAAAGAGTCCCAACTGCTGTAAAACGCTCGGGCGCCTTACCGCGAGGTGACGTTTTCCGAAAACTCCCCCGGCCCGGGATTTCCGTCTCTCGATGCCTCGCGATTGACGCGCTTCGTTACTTAATTTCGGATAAAGCGTTGCGCGTGCAGATTCAAAATGTTAATTACTCGCGAGTAGTCGAATCCCGAGGTACGTAACTTCCACGTACTCGTTGAAAGTTTATCGATGCGTGCCGAAGATCGGAGCTTGTACCTATGCTAATGCATTTTACCTGAGTGAATGCTGTGCCAACCGCACCGCTGGCAATCGCGAGGAGATTTCGTTCTATCCACTCCTCGCCGGCCTGTATGCAACCTTTTTCGTAAATCACTTTGGCGACCTCAAAGTTCTGCAAAAAAAGAAAAGGAAACGGCTACTTGGCTTACCGTCGGTGGTCCCCCCTCCCCTGGGGTTACGCTACTATTATAGTTGTTAGTCCAGGACAATTTTCCCGACGGCGGTGGTATTAGTTCCGTGAAGGTTTCCGTGGAGAAAGTGAAAGGATAGCTGCACCGTTGTTTATGTAACTCCGGTTTACCGTCGATCGCGTCAATCGGTTGCTATTTTAATGCGCGCGTGTCGCAATCCTCTTAAACGTTCGTCGCGACGCGCGTTTCGCCGCTTATGCGAATTGCGGCAACGAGATCGACGCCGGACTCGATGACGTCTGATAATCGGAGCTGCGACGCGAACGTGATTTCTATGATCGTGGCGCCCCACAGTTTTCGATATATTTCAAATTATATATCACAGCGGCCTTGTTCCGTTCTTACGGGGAGACGCTTATTTATTATAACGTCGACGTAGTCGGCGTTTCGAAAGATTGCGACGCGCTCGAATAACCGCGCGCGGAACGCAAAAACCGCTTAGAAACGAGAGCGAGGATAAAATCCACACGATGATAACTCTCGGCCGCGGCGCCCAGACGAGAGAACTCGCGAGAACACTGAAAAGGTCAGACCGTACTCGGTTTTACATACCGCCGGCTTGATCTCGCTCTTCGTTCCGTTAAGTGAAAACTCAATAAGGTACTCGGTCCGGTCGACGCGTTTCCTCTCTGCGTTTTTCGCGATTCCGCCGCGAGAACTATATCACTCGGAGAGGCAAGCTCGTCCAGGACGAGCGAAAGAAACGGTAACGTACGTTATATACGGGAATGACGTTCTTAAAGGAGCGATATCCCGACTCCCGCGGGCCCGTGGTTCCCGAACAATGAATTTCGCCGCTTAAATTTTCCAGCGGAGTCTCCGGCCGGTAACTTGAATTTCCAGTCATATAAAGGTAGCAACCTAATTTATTAGGACTGGGCGGTGGCTACGCCCCCGGAGGGGCGCAAATCGAGCCGGGATCGTAAAATGGATCCGAGGGAGGAGGGAGAAGAGGATTTCGAGAGGAGGGAGCGGAGGGCACGTATACGTACTCGAGAAAATGTATATACGCGTTAAAGCGGCGCGCGGAAGGCGGAAAGAGGAAGCGTGTATGGGGGCATTTACGGGGTCGGGGTGGTCGGGGAGGCGGTCGGGCAGATGGGGAGGGGGTGGGAAGAGGGGGGAGCCTAAGTAACAAGCCCATTCTGTTACGCCGTGCCTCGCGCGTTTACCCTCAAGGAGCCAGGGAGTAACTACGCGAGGCTTTCAACCTCGCTACTTCATTTACACCTTCCATCCCTCTCCGCTACCCAACTTTTCCTCAACGCCGTCCTCTCCGTCTCCTCCTCGATACGCGGGCGATATTGTGCGACTCCCTCATTAGCGGGGCGTTAGATGCCCTAATTACTTAAGAGTTTTCGCCCCGTCCTCCCCCGGCCGCTCCTCCCGCCGTAGGACCCCTGGCGCGCGGAAACTGCTAATTTATTCTGGCTCCTCAACGTCGCGCGCGCGTGTCAAAGCGGCCGACGATGCGCGCGATGACAGCGGCGAGATTGGGGAAGACCGAAGGCGGAAAATAGACGACGAGGATCTGGTGTGTACCCAACGTGACTTTGGTTAAGCGCAGTTAATTGAGGCTCTGACAGGGCGTAAGCTACGAGTGGCGAGAATTTTTCAGCGGCGGGCGAGAGAAGATTAATTTGACGGTGGAAAAAGCCTTCCGCGAGCCAACGTGCCACTCGTTTCCATTCATCTCCGCTGTTCGTTCAGCTACTTGCCAACATTTCTCACTCCGCGACGAGATCCTTTCCCGGCCGTTTTTCGGCCGCCGCGGGATAGCGCGGCGATGGCAGCCTCCCTATTTTAGCGTACTATAATCTGCCGTATTAGCATAGATAACATCGCAATTCTGGCGCGGTACAATCGGGCGCGCACGCGCGTATAGATAAGCGCGCGATTATAGCGTAGCATAATCCCGGGGCTCTAGCGCAGTAGTATAATCCCGCGATTTTAACGTAATATGATTTTGTACCACGGCCGGTCGGCCTTGCACGTAATTCCGACTGGTATAATTGCCCGAGCGATACTTTATGGCTGCGATACGCCTGCAGCGATAATCTTCCTCGGTCAACACGGAGAATCGGTATCTTAAGTCTTAGACGTTCGGGCATCTGGAAAATCGCCGTTGCAAATGCAATTTTAGAGATGCACTTTCTGACCGCGCAAACACGACGTGTATATGTATTTTTCCGAAATCAATTTGCCACCCCATTGAATCGTTTGTTAATTTCGTAGCTACATATTGACGAACCGAACGGTTAGGTTAATCGCATTTTAATAGCAAATTTAATTATAAATTTCTCGATAATTTTCGATTAAACGTGTCAATTAATGTAATATTAATGCGCGCCAGTTTACCAGCCGATATGTCAATATGCAATCTTGTTGCGATGTAATTGGATGCGAACACCGGCGAAATAACAATAAAACTCGTCGGCCGCGAAATTGAAATTTGAATAATTAGCATGGAATTAATATAGTCGCGCTAAGGGAGAGAAACGCTCATGTTTATGACTCGTAAACTGGTTCTTCGGACGTTTGTTGCGCATCTGAGCGAGGTAGCGCAATCGGTCTAGCCCCGTCAAGATTATGCAGCGAGTTGGCAGTAATTTACCATACTGATTACGAGAGAGGAAAAACTCGTATTATTGCATCGCGTGCCGGCTTTAGTACAAACGCTGTTATAGAATAGCTGCACGCGCTTATGACTTGTATTCCTATCTTCATTAAAGTATGTGATGTGCTTAACTATGCGGAAAGTGGTGTTTCCGAAGGGAAAGAGGACGAACCAGTCCGGGATCATTTTAGAAACGACAAATTAACAACAATTAACTAATAAGAATATTCTTCAATGTCGCCAGCAGTAATTAACAACGCCAGTGTTTTCTTCACCATATCTGGCGGTTTTTAATAATACAGAAAATTTACTGCGAAAAATATTACCTCAGCCGGGGTTTGAACCTGGACCTCCCTAGAAACGGGACAGGGATACTTAAACAAATCGCGTATCGACAGATCTGTGCACGGCCGACAACCCTAGTCGGCGCGGAGTTTAAAGTCGAAAAATAGACGCGAAGACTTTATATTGTTATTGCGACAAATATTACCACATGCCTCAGTGGTCGAATTGGTGAGACGCCCGCGTAGAGTGTAGGGAGGTCCAGGTTCAAACTCTGGCTGAGCTAATATTTTTCGCAATAAATTATTGTCTATCTTATTAAAAATGCCCAGGTATGGTCAAGGAGACACTGACGTTGTTAACAATATTTATCGAAAGTTTCAATAGACGCGCGACAGTCGTGATATTTGCGTACACGGAAAGACCGGCTAAGGCTCAAAAATAACTAAAATTAAAATGTCGCTGTATAAATAGTAGGGGCATCTACATTGTTTTGTGTTGCAACATTCACTAATAGCGAATTCGGTTGGTTGCACTAGTGCGCACTCAGTACACACTGACAATGAGCC